TCAGTCTGAACATGAGGAACAATCTGAGCATGAGGATCAGTCTGAACATGAGGAACAACATCCCCCGTCTCATCAAAATACTCCTCCGCCTGCAGATCCTCCTGGGCATCCTCCACCTGCGAATACTCCTGAATATCCTCTTGTCAATAATCCTGCGGATTCCCCTAACCCTCCTGCAAATCCGCCCCTGAATTCGCCTCCAGAGTCTCCGGATCATTCGAACCCTTCTCTGCCAGAGGAAGAGGGAATTCCTCTAGTGACTATGTCTCATTTAGACCAAGGACATCGGGCAAGCCAAGCGTCTCAGGCAGCACAGGCGGCTCAGGCATTCCAGGAGAACGGGACTCGTCGGACGCGCTGGGATATTCGGGACTCTATAAGAGCGGAAGCAAGAGATCGGTCCGCATCGGAAACCGCAATCACTGAGTCATCTTCCATTCACGCCGTACCAATTACCGGGACAGACCCTCCAGCTGAGGCAGAACAGGAAGGAGAAGCACCTCCCCGGAATCATGTAAACGGAGTCACTCCTGTAGATACGCCAGGCTATGCAGCTTCTGCATCTACATCTGTTGAACATACTCAACCTCAGACGAATGGAGGAAGTGAAGCTCCGACTTCAGGAGGCAGTGGAAACGGCTCCTTTGGGAGGAGGCGTGCGCGACATCGAGATAGATTGAATCGCCGGGGTCAGTTGTTCGAAGACGACATGTCTGCCCCAGAAACGGGGATTGATCGTATTGATTCTGTTGTTGCAGGGCTGTCAGGAATCCTTGTTGAAACAGACGTGGTGAGTGTCTTGCAGTCTTGCATTGTTATTAGCCCGCCATACTCGATCCGCTCTTTCTACAGTAGCTGACTAGACAGGAACAAACTTTTACTCAGAGGGAGGATGCTGAGACTGTGGACGCTGACACAGAGGAAGCTGACACAGAGGACGCTGAGACAGATGCCGAGGCATAGAATGCTCAGAATGGCGGATCAGAGGGCGAAGTTTCATGATGGGTGGTCTGGTAGGTTTTACAACAGATTGATAAAGGTTAGATTTGGCCATTAAAAGAGGTGTGGGTTATGTAGTATTCATCAGTATGCTTGATCAATACCAGTAGATAGCGCTGATTCATTGATGATTTCGGATACTACTATCCTTTCATAGCCCAAGACAGACACCACATATCAAAGTGTATACACCAAGAAATACCATTCTCTAACCCTACTTTATACAATACTACACTACCACTCAGCAATATTCCCCCCCACCCACTGCGGATGCAAAAACGGCGCACCACTCGACCTCCTCCCACTCGTCCCCTCCGACAACCTCCCCTCCACATCTCCCCAACCATGACTCCCATGATGACTCCCATCCACCGACTCCGACACGGAAACAGAATCCCACCTCACCTCCCTCATAATCTGAATCCCCTCTCCCCCACTATCCCTCTCCCCACCACCACCCTCCCCAACCTTCCCTCCATTCCCATCTCCATCCCCATCCCCATCAACTCCCGCAGACCTAACACTCCCCGCATCCCCCCAAACACTCGTGGAAACGGTACTCCCCGGCGCAAACAACCCCGCCCCACCGCCCCCATATACAGATAGGAAATCCAAGTCCTCATTCCTAGACGCCCCTCCTCTTTTTGATATAGACTTCCTCGTCCTAGACTTAGATATCGTGGGTGGTCGTGAAGGAAGTTGAACTCCCGCCTCCTCAGCCTTATTACCATTATTGTTGTTATTGCTGTTCGACCTCGACTCCTTATCCCTATTATGATAAGATCTCATCCGAGAAGGAATCAGTTTCGGGAATACACGGACGAGTAAGGGTCGGAGAGGCGGGAGGCATGCGCAGGTTATGGCGACGGCGGATTCGATGAAGGACCAGGTTGCTGCGAGGCCGTTTCCTGCTATTTTCTTTCTTAGTATGGGGGTGAGATATGGGGGAGGGTAGGGTAAGGGATGGGTACAGGTAAGGTCTGGATCTCGGAGGAGGTGGACGATGGTTGTTAGGCGGATGATGCTTGTTGCGCAGACACTGTACCATCATCATCAGCACCCATAACATTAAAGGTATAAGGGGAGGGAGGTATAGGGGGATTTACAAAAACCCCAACGCAAAAATAACCAACAGGGCCGCCTTCTGCCTCTTTGGCAGATTCAACCTCGCCAGGATGGGCAACGGCAGAACCACAAGGATCAAATCCGTAGTGATTTGGAACGCGGCGTTGAGACACCAGACCACATCCTCGGGGAGACATGTATGCGGCAGGGAAGTATCCCAGAAGGCGTTGATGGGGATGCAGAAGATGAGGGTGCTGAGGACCATCCAGAGGCCGGTGATGATGACGAAGATGAGGGTGAGGATGAGGAGGATGCGGTAGGTGTGTGTTGGGAAGAGGCGGCGGTAGAGGAATATTAGGGAGAGTTTTGTGAGGGTGAGGGTGAGGTTGTAGAGGGGGATTGTTATCCAGAGGGCCTATTTCATATATTAGTATCATTTGTTGTATGGAATTAGGGTATGTATGTGAGTGGGTGTGGGTATACCTTCAATTGTCTCCTCACTACCTCCGGCGGAAGATCTGCTTCGATTCCGGCGAGGCCGTTTTGGCTTTCTATATTATACCTTGTTACCACTTATCCCAGGTATATTCCATATTATATTGGGGGATAACATACCTATAACCAAAAACGCAAAAAACACTATATCAGTCGCCTACACCCATCATACATACACCCACATCAGCATTACTCAATCAATCAATCAACTATCCTAGAGGGTATCTCACCAACGACACCACAATCAACAAATCATCCCAACCCGGCTTCCTCACCAACCTCAACCTTGTATACAGTCGCAGCGCGACCGTGATCGTCGCCAGGCAAAGGAAAACGATTCCCACGGGCAGGGCATACATCCTGCTGGGGTGAACTGACGACGTCTACTTCCTTCGGAGGAAGGGAGCGGCATCTTTCGATTGAGGTCTACGGTATCATCTTTTTGAATGGGAAAAAAAAAAGGATTTTGCTGCTGAAGCAGACGTGGCAATGCTAAGCCCGAGGTTGCAAGGCCGGATCCAGATCTATTGCGTCAAGGATACTGATAAAGTCAAATCCCCGCGGATGTTGCTGGACTGGGCTGGGTGTGCCACCACAATTTGTGAGGATCCACGGTTCGGTCCGTTGGCGCCCAGCTCTTACATTAGTGGGCTCGGTTAGGAAATGTTCGAGAAAAGTGCATAAGTTATCAGAAGACTGCATCTATTTTCATTATCAAGCATGTACAAGTTCATGAGACATGGAACAAACATCAGTTGCACTATACATGTGGTTTCAACAACTGTTTCCACCTTTTGTAAAATCTACATAATGCAACCCGTAATTCTAAGAATATCGACTCATCGAGTCACGCTAGCGTTAGTGTATCAATGCAAAACAATCGGGTATTTAAAGGCGGGACTTGAGGTTGGCCTTGAGTCTGCGCTCGACGGCAGCCATGTACTCGCGGGTAGTAACCCAGGCCTCACGCTCCTTGCGGCCGCAGGCCAGAGCCAGATCCTTGGTCATGATGCCCTCATCGTTGACAACCTCAATGCAAGCGCGCTCAAGCTCCTCAGCAAAGGTAACGACATCAGGAGTCTCGTCGAGCTTGCCACGCTGGATCAGACCGCGGGTCCAGGCGAAGATGGAGGCAATGGGGTTGGTGGAGGTCTCGCGGCCCTTCTGGTGCTCGCGGTAGTGACGGGTCACGGTACCGTGGGCAGCCTCAGACTCGAAAGCCTCGCCAGTAGGGGTGACCAGGGTCGAGGTCATCAGACCAAGGGAGCCGAAACCCTGGGCGACAATGTCGGACTGGACATCACCGTCGTAGTCTATACGTTTTGAATTAGCATAGCCCTCACACAATGCCAGGGGAAAGCCTACTCTTCAGGGCCATGACGAAACCACCCTCACTCTTGATCATCTGGGCAACCATGTCGTCAATGAGACGGTGCTCGTACCAGAGGTTCTTGGCCTCAAAGTCCTTCTGGTAGGTGGACTCGTAGATCTCCTGGAAGATATCCTTGAAGCGACCATCGTAGCGCTTCAGGATGGTGTTCTTGGTGCTCATGTACAGAGGGAGACCCTTGAGCAGGGCCATCTGGAAACTGGCGTGGGCAAAGCCACGGATCGACTCATCGGTGTTGTACTGAGTCTGGGCAATACCACCACCCTGGAAGTCGTAGACCTTGACGGTCTCGGGCTCGCCATTGACAGGGGTGTAGACAAGCTCGAGCTTGCCGGGGCCGGGGATGACACGGTCGGTGGCACGGTACTGGTCACCGAAAGCGTGACGACCGATGATGATGGGCTTGTTCCAGCCGGGGACGAGACGAGGGATGGCGGGGATGATGATGGGTTCACGGAAGACGGTACCGCCGCTGCAGGAAATTAGCAATTGAGCTTAACAGCAGGGATTGCAGCAAGGTACGAACAGGATGTTACGGATGGTGCCGTTGGGGGACAGCCACACTGAAGCAAGGGTTAGTATGACTCCATTCACATGCTTCGGTATACGTACTCTTCTTCAGCTTGAACTCCTCAACACGAGCCTCGTCGGGAGTGATGGTGGCGCACTTGACACCGACACCATACTTCTTGATAGCCTCGGCAGCCTCAACGGTGACCTGGTCATCGGTCTGGTCACGGTATTCGAGACCCTGCAATGTCTGTCAGTCTCCAACCAGAACACCAATTCTTGCCACAGAAGCCTACCAGGTCATAGTACTTGAGGTCGACGTCAAGGTAACTAGGCGTAATGTCTTAGTCGACTGACTGGATGGATCAATAATCGGAAGAAGTCGACTTACGGCAGAATCAACTATAGAAGCGGGGCCGAGTTAGCGTGTGAAGATGCGGGAGAGAACGGGAGGAATGCATCTGGAGCTGATGCATGGCGGGGCAGCCGAGGGCCAACTACATACCTTTTCTCTGATCTCCTGCCAGATGATACGGGTCATCTAGTAAAAGGGCAAGGTTAGCACATGTCAAACCTTTTTGCTGTCCTGCAATTGAGCCCTGGATCGCCGAACGATTGACGCTTGGCTGCCAGGGGCCAGGCGGCAGCCGCCGTTATTCCCCGCGTCTGGAATGCGCCATGACGAAAATGCGCATCCCGACGAGGGGCAGAGCCGAGATGCAGAATTATACATATATAAAGGAGGGGAGGGAAGCCAAAACGTAAAAGTCAAATCAGACATACCTCATCACCGTCGAGCTCAACGACGGGGTTCTTGACCTTGATCTTGGGGATTTCGGTAGCCATGGTGCGGGATTGAGTAAGATTCAACGAGGATAGACCGGTCCAGCGGGCAGAAGCAGTACGAGAGGAGAGAAGGGATGAGGCAGAAGTAAGAGATCTGGGAGAGCGAGTAGAGACAGAGGAGGAAGAAGAAGAAATAGTAGAAGAGGAAGAAGAGAGAAAGCGACGAGCGGAGGAAGAGAGAGGGGCAGAGAGAGGAGGGGAAGCGACGGCGAAGGAGCGGCGCGCCAATGCGGAACTGAACCGGACAGACGACATGGTGTGGGATGGATTGCCAAAGACTCGACAGTAACTGGGCCTGTTGTGTGGGAGGAACCGGGGAAAGTCTGCCCAAGCGGATCAGTCTATCGGGTACGGGGAAACGAGGAGGAGGATCTAAACTTGGGGGCAACGAGAATAGGAGGGAGGGAGAGAGAGAGAGAGAGTATACCCGAGGGAAAGACAAGCAAGAAGCCGTGAAGCTCTCGGCTGGAAGGAGGCGGTGGTGGAGTTCGGAAGCTGCCGTTAAGCCGGACTGGACAAGATGCTGTTGCTGTAAGGGACCTTCACGGGGCAGATCGGAGAACCCGGAAAATCGTTTCTGTTCACTCTGGGAAATAATCTTCCTGCAATAAGCAAGAACCTGGGGAGGAATGAGGGAAGAACGGAGAGGAGAGAGAGAGAGAGAGGGTGAAGAGAGGAAAAGAGGCAAATGGAGGGCGCCCCAACACCTCTTATCCGGCGTGGATGTTCCCTCCCAAGGCTTGGAATTGACACACACCCACTTCCCTTTCCGCCCACCGTTGCGACTTTCTGGTCGCCGAAGCCGGACTATTCGACTCTCAGACTGGGGGGGGGGAAAAGTTCCCTTCCCTGGGAATTGGCACTACTTTTGCTGCTACTTGCTACTAACTAATGGGTCCGGTCAAACTGCAGTCCGTGGTGGCATCAGACCCTCTTCCTCACCCAATTCTGCGCTATTCCGTTCCCGCCTTACGGAGTACTCCAGACTCTCCATTCCTCCCTTCCTCCCTCCCTCCCTGCTTAATGTCCGCCGCTATTGATCTCCATCAAGATAAGATGAAGTCCTCCGCGGTGCACGTAACGAACTATAACTATAACCTCCCTCAGTATACGCCGTAACTCGCAATTTTCAAATGGTCACACCCCAAATGCACCTGACAACACCCCGCGTAATTTGCTTTTTAGCCATCCCATTCGCATCCCTGTGTCTGCAACGTTAAAGGCTTAAAGGAGAATTCTCCGACCAGTCCAGCCGATCGCAACCGCTGTTTCCCGCGGCAACGGATACAGTGTGCTCCGCCGGGTCATCAACCACCGAAGTCGCTGCCGGTCGGACTTGCCACTCTCCTCCCCGGAGAACTATCGATGACTCATCCATGATTCCCCACGCCAGGCCAGCACCATACTCAATTATACTCAGTACAGAGTAGTAGTCAATTTCGAGATAATCAAGATAATCTCCACTGTAGATTTTCTACATTGGGTCATCTAACTATGTAATAGTCTTTGTACTATGTATATCGCCAGAAAGAGACACTGCAATCCTGTTGAAGTTGACCCTCCTTCAGTGACCCGAGAACACCGGCCCTGTATAGTCCTGCCGCAATATGTTGAAATAAACCTTCCCTTGCCTTTGTTTCATGGCCAGAATCATGTTAGACAAACAGTAATAATCGATGACATTATGAAAATAAAACCAGCCCCAACTCTAAAACACTAATGACGTTAAATCTACCGTCTAGAACAGACCGTCAATCTCTCCGGTCTCAGGGTCAATATCCACATTCAGGTATCCAGGCGCCGTCGGCAATCCGGGGATGGTCTGGATGTCCGCAGCCAGTGCGTACCTGTAGTCACAATAGGTTAGCTCAATGGATCCAAATTAAGCACAGAATGAGACGGGATGCCTACAGATATCCACCACCCACTGCTAGCCGAACGTCCCGGATGGGCACAGTGAAGCCAGTGGGGGCGCCCTTGAGTGCCGCGTCGTGACTGAGCGAGTATTGCGTCTTGGCAATGCAGATGGGCAGGTTGCTGAAGCCCTGCGCCGTGTAGGTGTCAACCTTCTTCTGGGCCAGTTCGCTGAACTCAACCTTCTCCGCGCCGTACATGGC